CAAAACCATTATACCCTGATTTCCCATTTTCAATGGGTTCAGGGTATAAAAATCTTTAAAAAGTATAATTTATAAAAATTTCGCTTAATTAGAGTACATTGTATTCATTTATTTACACCATAATACAAGTATTTATTTGCATTTGTGTTAAAATATAATAAGTCTATGCAAACTATTGTTAAAAAAAAAAAAAAAAAAAAAAAAAAAAAAGAAAAACAATATAACCTTTGGTTAAAAATAACTTGCTTATGCAAGGCAAAATAATATCCATATAACATTTAAATATCTAACATTTAATATGAGTTCTACAAATATGCAATTTTTTACCAAATGGAATTTATTAGTGAAATTTAAGCAGTTTTATATTTTTGTGGTATTCGCGTCATAGCTTGTTTAAGAATTTAAAATCTTAGTATCGCATTGCTGGCTTATTAATGAACAACTTTTGTTTCGGTTGACATCAATCATGTTGGCGTCTTCCCAGCAATTTGTTGCTGTTGTTTTTGTTGTTGTTTGGGAGTCGCGTTTGATTGAGTGCCTTCTAGCATTGGGATTCATTTCGAAAGCTCGCAATTAACATATTGTCTTTAGTCTATTTTTGGAGTGCAGTTAAAAAAACATAATGTATCAAATGAACAATTCGAGTTGTGCTGCAGTCTCCCAGTCGCAAGTTCAATTGCTTTGGGTGCTTCACTTTGTATCTATATGGCATATACATCTGTGTGAGTGTGTGCGTGTGTGTGCAATTGTTTTGTAAGTACATGAGATTTGTGTTACGCATTAGTGTGTGTATGTGTGTGTGCGTGTGTGTGTAAGTAGCATGAGCTCATGTTTATTTTTATTTGCCTGCCACAAATTGCAAGTCACTTGACAAGCTGCTGATGCAGCTCCCGCTGTTGTTGAAATGCTGATGTTGACTTGCCTTTTTCCATGAGCTCATGAAGCACACACACACACACACCAATACAAAAACCTTACCCACACACCAGCTGCCGACAACATCAATATTCAACTTAAAGAGAAAAAAGTCTAAGCCTGAAACAGAATTTAGCTTAGAATTTAACTGAATGTTGGTCAACGTGTCGTATGCGCACTTTGAGGCTTGCACTCGCCTGCAGCTGTGCATTTATTAGGGCGGCACTGAGCGCAGAAAAAATATAATTATTTGCCATTTGTTAAGGCCCGTGTTCAATAAGAGTTTTCACATAGTTTCTAATAAATATAGCGCCGGCCGAGAAGAGATTTTTGGGTCTCAGAAACGGGTTTGGCACTCGCTTTGATGAATGAGCAGCCGAATCAAAGTTGACAGACGTAAAAATTATTTTGTGCTTGGCACGAGTCAAATTTCTCGATCGCAGGTCGTGGCCCGGCCACATTTCCAAAATATTTACACACTCTCGCCGCACTGGGGCAATTAATCAACTACTAGGGAGCAGTTGGCCGCAGCTACGCGAGGACTGCGCATGAATGAAAGTGGAGCTAAAGCCCGGAAGTCGTCGGATGACCGCACCTCAAAGGCAGCGATCAGTTTTGTGGATTAAGCCGATATGGAGCAGATCGCTGGGCGGGGTCGAGCTGCTCAGCTGAGACACAATTGTAGCCGCCACCGACACAGCAGATTATGATTATTAAGCAACGTCTGACATAGTTTTGAGCCTCGATATGTTCTCTTTATTCATATTTATTTCTTTAATTTTGTTTTTTTTTGTTTTTTTTGTGTTTGAAACTAACGTCCCGTGTCTGTGTATGAATGAAACTGTAGAGTCACAAATGCATGATAAATCATGCGATGGGACAAACATGCCGACAGCCGTGCATGAGCCAGGGCCAATTATAACCTTCACATGAGCGACACGGAGAGAGGCGATAACGAAAGAGAGAGGGAGAGGGAGAGGGAGAGAGAGTTAACCTACCTACGCACTAATATGCTTAGGCAATGCCGCCAATTCCCCAGAGAGCGCCAATTTTCCCAAAAAATAAAAGAAAACGAAAAAACATCTAGAAACATGCAGCTCGCTCTTTAGCAGTTTCACGCTATGTTCCTGCAGTGCCCCGCTTGTACCGCTCCTCCTGCCTGGCCGCTTGTGCAATCTTGATTTCCTTGGCCTTGTATGATTTGGCGTTTTCATAAATTGGCTGCCAGGCAATTGCAATTGGCACTCTTTTGGCTGCAATGACTCGACGCTTTTGCGGCCGGCGAGACTTTGACTCGAGCTTGGAGCTCACCCGGCCGCAACTCGAAGGCCGTTTCCTGGACATGGACAATGCTGCTGCTCCGCGCTCTCTCACACCTCCTCTCTCCCTCCACACACTGGGCCAGTTCGTTGAAATGTTGAAATGAAATGATACACACTTATTAAAAACGAATTAACGCAGCATGCTGCCAACGCCGACGGTGACGGCGGCGTCGACGCCTACGCCAGCGCAGCAGCTGACGTTGCGTTGTTTTGCGGCCATTGCCTTGGCTGGTTTCGTTTTCATTGTTCTTCTTCCTTGTCTCCTTGTCCGTTCGCGCTGCCTCAGTCCTTTGGGCTTTGTAATTGATATTGTTTAATTTTTATGTTTTTGTTGAGGTATTGTGCGCCGTTGTTATTGTTATTGCTTTTTTTATAACTTTATCAAATCAATAACGCATTTATGAATTTGTGTGAAGTCTGTAAAGAAGCCCTGACGAATCGTAAAGGAATTCTGAAAGAATTTGTGATTATAGTTGTTAATTTTTTATTTGACAAGAAATGAAATTCAAATGCGATTAAAATGGTTTTTGAATATATTAGTATAATATTCATCTTTGAACTTAATGGAACTTTATTTTAGTTTAATATAAAAAATTATACAAATAGGGAATATAATTAAATTAAAAATTAGCTTCTGCTTAAAGGATTTTTGATAACGAATAACAAAGACTTATTGAGAAATCTAAAATAATTTTAATTTATTAAGAATAATATATTATATATAAATCGATGTTTTCGAAAACGAAATATTAACTTATTTAATACAAGTAAAACAATAGAGGAGTCTATTCTTATAAATGTACTCACAAAGCTTGTCAACAGCTCTTTAAGGCCAAGCTTTTTAGCACAGTCTCGAGAGATGGTGGGGAGAGATGGGGAGCGAAACCCTTGCCCGTCCGTCCCATTTCATTTCCCCCTGCGGCTGTCAGCAGCCAACAGTGCACGACATCATTAATCTAGCGACTGAGAAACGGCAGCGCAGCAGCAGTTGGGATTGAAATATTTATATCAAATCGAAAGCTGTCTGTCACAGTGCAATGAAATTTTTATAAATTACAACTTGATGTGCGCCGGATATGATTGGTCAAGGCAGGACCCAGCAGCAGAGCGGCCATAGCGATAGAAACATCAACTCCAAGTCCCAAGTCCCAAGCCCCAAGCCCCAAACTCCTCGATGGTATTGCGAACGGGCCAAATTGAAATTGATGGAGCGAATATAAATTTGATGGCCTGTCCGTTGGCTCTATTTGATGGAATCGTAGGCCCGAAACGAATCGAGTGCGGCGGGGCAGCAGGTGTAGCGCATAAAAAACGGAACAGGAAAAGGATAAAGCGAGGGCAGCTGCGGCGAGAAATGTTGTTTTAGCGCTCGAGGAAAAACTAAATGCGAACATTGCGCGCTGTTGTCCTTTTTCCCGAGCAGCGGCCGCGCCGTTCGATAGGCGGACAGACGGACAGACGGACAGTTGGACTGGCAGTTGTTTTACTTGATTTTGATTAATTATCCTGGACTGGCGCTGTGCGATTGCAGCTCTTTCATCTACCCGCTGTCACTGCTGCTGCCGCTGCCGCTGCCGCTTCTTCTTCTTCGTCAACATCTACAACATCTACCCTTCGCGTCTGAAGGTGTTGTCAAAAGTTTTTGGCGCGCTTTTTGGGGTTGTCAACTTATCTGGCGAGATTTATTGAGCCGCCCGCCTTCTGCTTATTATGAAACTAAATTTGAAGTGTATTAATTGTGGCACGTTGCGACTTAATCGGCATGCCACTGCCCTTCAGTTGCTGCCCCAGCCCCTGCCATTGCGACTGCCCCTCCTCTAATTTCCAATCATTAATTATGCATCTCTTCATGCTCTCGCGCACTCTTTTCTTCTGTTTTGCAGCGAATGGCTCATATCAGCCAGGCATGGAGCCGAAACGCCAACGCACCGCCTACACACGCCACCAGATACTCGAGCTGGAGAAGGAGTTCCATTACAATCGCTACCTGACCCGACGGCGGCGCATCGAAATTGCGCACACGCTGGTGCTGTCGGAGCGCCAGATCAAGATCTGGTTCCAGAACCGCCGCATGAAGTGGAAGAAGGACAACAAGCTGCCCAACACCAAGAATGTGCGCAAGAAAACGGTCGATGCCAATGGCAATCCAACACCGGTAGCCAAGAAGCCCACAAAGCGCGGCACTGCCAAGAAGCAGGCCCAACAGCAGCAACAACAACAACAACAGCAACCCCAACAACAGCAACAGCAAACGCCGGTGATGAATGAGGTGAGTTGAATGCGCTGCATAACAATCAACGGCGTAGGCACTTAAGGCACGAATGACACCAGCTGAAACATGCATTTGCAACAAGAGATTAATCCACAAAGAAAATTGTAAAAGTGAAGCTTTTAAAAATTACCGTATGGTTGATTTAAACTCATCAATGGGGAGGTAATTGGAGAAAACGGACACAGCAAGAGTGAGGGAGAGGGAGAGCAAAACAGAGCGTGAAAGGGAGAGGGTAATATATAGAGGGAAAGAGAAAGAGAGACATATAGGGAGAGTTAGAGCTAGAGAGCAAAGGGAGAGAGTGGAAGAGAGAGTGTAAAACAGAAGGAGAGCGGAAGAAAGAGAGCGAGAGAGAGATATAAAGAGAGCTAGAGAGGTATACAGAGAACGGGAGAGCGAAAGAAAGAGAGAGATATACAGAAAACTAGAGCGAGAGAGAGCAAGATAGATAGCCAGACGGAGAGAAACAGAGAGAGAGAGAGAGATAAAAGTAAAGGAAAAGCTTATATAAGCTTATAAAAAATGTATTGAAATAAAAAACTATTGGAATTAAATTACTGCTGCTGAGTAAATTCACAGCCTCAAATACTTGAGTTTAAAGATTGTATATTTAAGCTCTCAAATACTATACTACTAATAAATTTGCTCCAAAGAATTTTTTGTTATTCAACAACTAATCCCAAGATTCATAGAATTTAGTAACCTGGGCTCCCGCCAGTCATCATAGGGAAAAATATGTTTATTATATATGTATGTTATGATATATGCCATCACATATAAGAGACGCAATATGGCAAAAGCAATACAAGTCAGAATAGAATATCAAAGAGAGAGAGAGTTAGTTACTACAGAGGGGTTCCAGCTCAGCAGCTCTGATGCAGCATGTCAAAATGCTTCGTTGATGCGCAGTTGCTTGAGTCTGCGTGGCTACGTTATATAGGCATTATAAACTAATAAACTACTATGATTATTAACTATTGTTTTACTTATCCTCTATGCTTCTCTTTCGTATAATTGTAGTGCTTACGCTCTGATAGTCTTGAGAGCATTGGAGATGTCAGTTCCTCGCTGGGCAATACGCCGTACATTCCCGCTGCCACGGACTCGGCGAATCTGACGTCCTGCGGCAATGGTAATGGCAATGGCAATGGCTATGTTGGATCTCAGCAGCATCCAGTACATCTCAACAGCAATAACAACAACAATAACAACAACAACAACAATAACAGCAGCAACCTCAACAACAACAACAATCAAATGCACACGGGTCTGCACAGCCACCATCAACAGCAGCAACAGCAATCCGATCTCATGAACAATCTGCAGCAGCACATCAAACAGGATTATGATCTGACGGCGCTCTAGGAGATCCTTGGCGCGCCCACAGCTCAGCTAGTGCATTGAGTCCTTTAGTTTGAATCCTTTAGTTAGCCCCGCAATACTTTCTGGCACCAAGTTCTTTAACTTTAAGTCGTAATCATCATGCAACCCCCATTTTTGTACACCCGTCGAGTCATCGATCGGGACAATTCGGAGTATACAGTGAAAGAAAAAGTATATCTAGTTAGTTAAGCACCAAACCAACGACCACTGGGCCACAACTTTGGCGTTACCCAATCCATGCCGACCTTGGCAGGAACACCCCCTGTAAATTAGCGGTACTTAATTAGAGGTACGTTTTGTATAAAGCATAGCAAATTAATTGTAAGCGAAAGCCCAATTTGTCATAGTTGTAAGTGGAAAGAAATATATGAGTAAATGTATAATTATCATTATTATTATTATTATATAATTATTATTATTATTATTAAAATTATTATTATTAATACTATTATTATTGTATCCAACTAGTTGCATCTGTTGTGCGTAGATATTAATATAAGTTCGAACGTATATTTTATGGATACAACCAACAAACAAACAGACAGAGAAACAAACATGCATAAGTATATAAATATACCTAGACAATATGAAAACCAAATAAACCGAACAAATTTTACTTGGAATTTACAAATGTATGTGCGTGTGTTTTTTCAGTGTAAGACTGAGATTATTTAAAAAAGATATATACATATATATAAAATATATACATATATCACATATTCTTGATAGATGTATTTTTCGATATTTTTTATTCTTTATACAGAAATTGAGTTTCTAGATATTTTTTTAATTACTATTTATTAGGTTTTGCATAAGAAATTTAATATGGAATTTCTAAAACAGGAAGTTCTGTTGAAGCGTGGAGCGAGCTTTAAAGACTTACAGCACAGGATGCTCGCTGAACATTTGAGCTTAACGCTGATTCATCGTTCATTGTCATCTAATTAGGACAAATTTAAACATCATGGAATCGCGCTGCTGGGCATGGGCGCTGCCAGACGGACAGACATCCTGTTGGCGGCCTTTGTTGCGCTGCCCAGGAGAATTCAACAAGCCTTTGTTGCCCATCAGCGTCGCTCATGTGGAATGACAGAGGGGTTGCTGGGGGAACGGCGAGACTTAAGGCTGGGGAATTGGGGCTCAGACTCAATGAGGCACGAGATGCGCTGGCAGCGATAGTTGGCAAATGCTAACAAGAGTTCTTAATTAAACATCGATTCGCAATGATTGATCACAGCCCATTGGCACCTGTTGGCTTCTGGAAATATGTTAAACAAGGCATCATCTTTCAAAGTGGCAGCGGAGCAAACTCGGCCTGCCTGCCTGCTCATGAGAGAGCCAGAGCGAGATCGAGAGTGTCAAAAACTGGTCTTGGCCAGCGCTGCGTCTGCGTCATATGCCACTTCCCTGAAAACGGATCTGGACTCCTATTGCAAATTGTCGGTGCTCAGTGAGGCAGACATCGCGTTGACAGTGTGCCTATAAAGCCAAAAGGTAAACAGCACACATGTGACAAGCTGGGCCTGGACCCGAGCTCGAGTCGGAGTGCCAGTCTTAGCCTGGCCAGAAGCTCGCCACAATCAATCTCCCTCGCCTGACAGTGGATTGTCTTGCAGGAACATGGAAACACTCTTAGCGCTTAATTTATCATTGCAAAATGATCTACGCGCATTCAGCTCTTAGCCAACAGCTCCAGCCAGAGCGCGAGTGTCCTGTCCTTCCCCGCATTGCCCTGGGAAGGGGCGCAACTGAACTGAAAATTGTGCGCCCTCGCCGAACGCGATAAAAAAAGGATTAAGACCTACTTACGGCGACAGCGACGGCGACGGCAACTGCCGACCGGAACGGGGAGCTGAAGAGGGTCGAAATTAGCAGCTCGAAATGATTACGAGAGCAGCAGCACGCGTTAAGGAAGCAACGCGGCCCTAGAGGCGAGAAAACTGTCACGAAGCTCCCCTCAGCCTAATTAGCGGCAACGGTAGCCCCGCTTGTCACTACCTTTCGACTGCATCGGCCACAGCAGTGAGAAGCCACCCTGAACCAGTTGCCCATATCATCCCGATCTTCAAATCATGTAGATCATGTGTTATAACATTACTTCTGAGATAGTAGACATGGATGAAATTAATAAAAAACATGAATAAAAAAAAAGTAAATGAATAAATAATTTTACAATTGCCTTAGTACTCAAAATAGTTTTATTTCAGATATAAAAGCTCTTGCCTTTCTGTTGATTGAAATGATTTGTTAAATTCGAGTAAATTGTTTTAAAAACTAATAAAAATACCATTGACTACTAATTTCCGGATTGTCATACCCTGAACCCATTAAAAATTGGAGATCAGGAAGATAGTCCATCGTCAAGTAATGTTATTAGACATTTGAGTTCCGATGTTAAGCCCATCCTGCAAGCAGAAAGACGCCAGGGAATATAATATCAATTCTTCGAAGGAGATTTAATAGTCAAGCAGTTTCAACTAGAGTTTTCTTACCTGTTCTCATTATCATAGTTAGACCATATAGCCCTTATATACGTTCTTTGCACAAGTAAGGATCTACAGCATTTCTTCGACAGCTCGATGTACTTTTAATGATCAATTTTAGTAGTTGAAATTTAGCACAAGATGCACAAGAGTGGGTGATACTTTTAGATATAGTTTAATTCTATTTGGTATAAATGTTTTTAAATAAAAAGAAGCAATGAATGTAGAATTTTACATAATGTACCCTATCAAGGTAATCCCTCTATCATTAATTAATTCCGTTGAGTACTCAACATTACATTTGTTTTATCATATGAATTGAATGCAAATAGAAGATCTCGATTTTTATGCAGCAAACTCCTTTTTAGCGGAATTCCCTAACAAAATGATTCTTTACAAAACATTCTTCATAAATTCCATTCTATTCATCATTTTGAAATTGACTTTTGACTCTGTGATTTAGCCGACTGAGACGCAGACCGTAACCGCCCTATTCGAAGTCGGCGTTTCGGGCATGCCTAAAGGCCGTGCTTTAATCCCGTCTCATCCTCTTTCATCCCGGCTAATCCCAACAGAAGTCACCGGACATGGCTCGGCCCACGGAGCTGCAGTCAACCCTTTTGTCCGGCGAGAAACAAAGAAAACAATTAACCCGTCTACTGTTGCTAATTTCAGAGGTGCCTCAGGTTGACTTTACGTGACGGTACTTTGCATATGCGGCCGAGGCACAGCGAAACGCCCCCGACACGCCCACGCGCCCGACTCTGCGGCGATGGCGGCACCAGCAAAGGCTGCACCCAAAGGGCTTCAGCTGAAGTCGAAGTCGAGCTGCCAGGATTGCCGCACGCTGAGCGCCGCACGCCATCCGCTTCCCTACTCCTTTCCATCGGCCATGTTTGACTTCTTGACTGCTTTGACTGCTTTTGCCGATGCACTTCCCTTTGTTGTCGCTCGGCTACCGTTTTGCACGGCCCAGTTTTTCCAGGGAATTGCATTGGGCAGCGTTTACCTGCTAATTAGCTGGCGATATTAATGGCAAGCACACACACAAACACACACACACTCACAGCTCTGATGTTTGTCAAAACACTCGCCAGCAATCAATTCTCATTAGGCATGAATTGGAAACAAATTTACTCGGCCCACGGCATAAATCAAAGTGCAGCCAAGGCCAACGCCGAGTGCTGTGATCTCAGCTCTGTGCCCACTTTCAATTGTGCCAACAATGCAGACTCTCAAGTGTGGCCGCAGGAATCAATCAAGGCTCATCACTCACAGCCACTCGAAAAGCATCGACAAGCCCTTCGAGTCCGAAGTTCTACCGTGTGCATGTGCATGTGTGAGTGTGTGCGAGTGTGCGTGTGTTGTTTTAATTAATGTGTGTCCATTTATTAAATTGGCAGTTTAGTCTTGACGTCACTTTTGGCCAGTATTGGTAGAGAGTGAGAGAGTGAGAGAGAGAGAGAGAGAGAGAGAGAGAGAGAGAGGGAGAGTGGGTCTCTTGCTTGCGGTTAGCCATTTATATACTTGGCTCCCTCTTGCCCCTGTCTCCGCTCCCTTCATGCATGTGTGTGTGTCTGTGTGAGTGCGTGCGTGCGGCCGATCAGCCTAATTTGTAACCATTAACCGAGGTATTATGTTTGGTCAGGCGAATGCATGCTGTTACCCATGTTATGAGCACACGAATGAGGCATGGATGCTTGCCAGGATGGCTGCATGGATGGATGGATAGATGAAGGACAGCACTGATTTCTGTCTATTAAAATCCATTTAAACAAATGGCCGTTCCATTGTGCTTCTCAAGTGCCCGCACATCGAGCCAAGTGTGAAAAGTTAGAAATCATTTAAGTCTATTTGCAGGTGCATCTCGCTCGTTATAATTAATGATCTCTAAGCTCTGCTATAAAGTATTGTAGAATTGATTTATAATATATGGATTGTCAGTACAACTATAGATATATATTTATATATACATATACCTTTACTACTAAGAATAAGACTTGCATCTTTTAACAAACTTCTAGGCAGAAATGGAATAGAGACTCTCTCGTCTCTCAGAAAACTTATTCTAACACTATATTAATATCACTACGTCACGAGTGACTATTTCTTATGTCTCGTATGCATATGTATATACAAATTTATATTTATATACACATATATTTAAATATTCGTAATCAAAGAATTTCTTATCTTACACTTTTTGACTAACTTGAGTTTTGTTCGATAGATCGCTGAATATCGAATAACGATTGGGAATTTCACAAATCTGAATTATAGATATTTCAAAATAGTTCTAAATTTCCAATCATCTCTCTGAAAAATTAAGAACTGAATTGTTATTTAGATATTTATTTATTTTCGTATTTAGTCTCCAACGAATTATTGTTTATTTGGCAGAAGTTCTTTATTGGGAGTCAAAATAAGTTTGAATAACAATTGAAAATTGAATGTTGTATCTATCAGTTAAAGATTTTCCGATTATCTGAAATCTGACATTAACAGTTGCACTCACAAGTTTGCAGTCGTACAACTGTGTAATAAAATATTGTTGCTTATTGGAAACCGTTCTTCGGTCTCACATAAGATATGGAATAGTTAGTTCTAGGAAAATATTCATTGGCATTCCAATTAGCCAGAGATGGGGAGTTTTGCATTCCAGTTTAGCTGCTGTTCATTGAGAGCTAACTGCATTGCATTTTCTTTGATTATTGTCACAGATTCCAGCTTGATGCCAGTACGCGGTCCAGCAGCTCCGCCTGCAGCCGCTCCAGCATTTGGTTTGAGTTCGCCACGGGAATTGTGCGTCTCTCTGTGTGTGTGTAGATGGATAGATGTGTACATGTGTGTGTAATGAGAAGTATATGCAGTAATTGACATTCGATCATTAATCAAAGTGCACAATGCAGACATTTCGTTTCGAATTGTATTTAGTTTTGTATTCGTGCTCGTTGCCTTTTTTTCGATTGCGATTTTAGCTCAGCCGCCGAGCTGCCCGCTGTGCCAGCACAAGCAAGAGGACTCAGACTCCTCCGACTCTGATACGGGCCGGCGTAAGCAGCCATGTTCCCGATGCAGACAAGGGCTGGACATTAACAAATTTTGCTGCAATTGCGAACAAGTGGAACGGCCTTCAACACCTACGCGACGGC